TAAAATATATCCAAATTGGGAAGGAATACATAAAATGATTTCTGTTTGCATGACCTAATCTTATGTGTAAAACCCTAAAGATTCCACAAAAAAACTTTTAAAGCTAATGAAAGAATCAGACAAAGTTGCAGGATACATAACACAAAAATCAGTTGTGTTTTTGTACATTAACAACAAACAATTCAAAAAGGAAATTAAGAAAACAAGTTCATCTACAATAGCACCAGAAAGATTAAAATACTAAGAATAAATCTGATCAAGGACATGAAAGCTATCTACGTTAAAAACTGCAAATCAGTGCTGATGGAAACCAGAAAAGACATAAATACATGGAAAAAGACCCTCCATTCATGGATCGGAAGACCTAACATTGTTAAGCCTACAATGCTACCCAAAGTGATCACCAGTGATTCCCAGCAGGTACACAATTATGCTTTTGTATTTGCATTCTTTTAGTACACATATATTATTTAATCTAAAGATGAACTGTAGTGAGCTAAATAGGGTCATGCACGGGTTCCCTTTTCTTATTAGGTCTAAATCTTTTCAAACTTAAAGTGGGAAAGATCTGTTCTGCCTGTCTTTCCTTTAACTCAAACTGTAGAATTGAAATGAACCAACATTTTGAAAAGTCACAGATGCCATCTCTGGAAGAAAAAAGAAAGTCAGAGAAATACAAAAAAAGCGGTTCATAAGATTCCTACATCAGAAATAGTCAGCCCGTTTGAACTCAGGCCTTTTCATGCTAATACTGTGGCCCTATCACAAAGTTAACATAATAACTCACATGGTAAGGTACGTGTCACCCTCTGTACATATTTATTTGCTTAAGCCATTGTTGAATTATGAATACTTCTATTTCTGATATCCTCAAATATTTAGGACTAATTTCTCCAATTCAACATTTACATCAGAGTCACTTAAATTATTATGAGTATGTGATATATAGTTTAGGAATATGAGACTCATGTTAACTATCCTGAGTTTAAATTCAGTCTCTGCAACTCACCCACTATGTGATCGTGGACAAACTATTCAAATCTCTGTACTTCAGGCTCCTGTTTCATAAAAGTGGTGCTACAACTTCATAGTTATTGCTAAATATAAATGTGATATGTGTGCTATACTCAGTAAATCGGTCAGTTGACATTATTAATGAGGAGATACTTCAGTCTTTGTATTAGTTACTATTTTCTCTGGCTTTTTCTTCATGCTGTAACCCTTTTTGCTTTAGTGTGTGTCTGTAAGTGTGTGTGTGTGTGTGTGTGTGTGTATTTCACTTCAAGAAACCTACACATTGTCATAGACAGACAGGTCCCTAGGAACCCCCTTAACACAAGCTTAATCATTGACATATCTCATCATTTTTGTCATGAATTTACCTTCAAAAAACCAGTAAGAGAAGAAGGGTTGAGAAAGTCGTGACTTGGTGACAATTAGAGTGAGGTAATAAAAATGCCTGAGGACAGCTAATGGTTACAAGTTTGGTAAGATCCGCTTTTAACAACGTTCCCATTGTCATCTGAAGGCATAATGATAGAAATGGGTGCTCAGATCAAATAAACTATCTTTTTATGCTTTGAAGCAAGGAGTACAAACTGTACTTGAAACAGTGTGTTCTGTCCTGGACATTACAATAATGAGGGGCATAAACAGAATTGTGAATATCTTATCCTGTTGGCAGAGTCTGCATATTTTTTTCATTTTTAAAAACATTTTTATGCAAATTTTCAAACATACAGCAATGTTAAAAAAATTTTACAGAGGACACTTACAAACCTAGATTGTCCCATTAATATTTACAATACTGTTTTTTGAAAATTTATTTGTATGGTGTATATTTAAGGTGTACAACATGTTTTGATAAATACATACATAGTAAAATAATTACCACAGTTAAACAAATTTACATATTCATCACCTTCCATAATTACCTTTGTATGTGTGTGTTTATTATGAGCACTTAAAATCTATTCTCAGCAAATTTTTGATATATGATACAAAATTATTAACTATAGTTCTCATGCTAAACATTAGATTTCTAGATTTATTTATGCTACCTAAATGCAAATTTGTACCTTTTACCTACTTTACCCCATTTCCTCCTATCCTTGATCCTGGTAACCACCATTCTACTCTCCGTTTATATTTATTTTACTTTTTAAAAAAAGATTCCACATATATTATCACATATTTATTCATTTATCTATCCATTAATTCATCTTGGATGCAATTTAAAGTAAATTGCAGACATAAGTACTCTTCTCTAAAACTTCCCTGTGCATATCATCGTTAAGACTTCATTAAATGCTTATTCTCTATTTTTGATGTAAAATTTGTAAACCATGATATGCAAAAATCTTTAGTGTGTATTCACTGCATTTTGACAAATGTATAAATCTCTGTAATCCAAATCTCTATGTTTTGATTATTCATATTTTTATATGTGACTTGCTTCTTCTTTCTAAGAAATGTAAGACTTCTGGTTCTCTGTGATTTGTTTTTATATGTTTTCCTTTCATCCCCGAAGAATAGCTCAGAACTAGACAAGAGAGGGTATTCTGACAATTTTCAGATATGGCTCCTGAAATAAATGGTAGAATTAAGATGTAGATACGAGTAAGAGATTCGTATGAGGGATGAAGCGGAAGGCAGTGCAGCAGAAGAGGGAGTAAGAGGCGCTCCAGGCAGGACAGGGCAGAGTGAAAATAACCTCTTGTGTGGAGGACAGCGGACAGGAATCTGGCTGGGCTGGAGCAGGGCGTCCAACAAGAGAGGGAAGGAATTACTTTCAAAGATGCCCAGTGATTCTGTTACCAAAATAGTTGAAATGCGGAGTTCCAAAAGTGGTAAATAGAAAAAGTGGACACATCTGTATCTATCTATCTATATGTTTTTTTGTTTCTCTCTCTGTCTAGCTATCTATCTGTATCTATCTAGATATCTATCTATTTATATCTCTTTACTGATAGACAGTGAATAAGACAGAAACAAAAATATCCTGATCAGTGAAGACAGAGTAATAGTGAAACAGATGACAGCATAATAATAAAAGCTACTGATATTTTTAGCTCTTGTTACATACCAGAGTCTGTTTAAATACTTTACATGCATCATTTTCTTAATCTTCACCATAAAAAGAGGAGGTTGATACTATTATCCCTATTTTTCAGATGAAGGAATAATGATACAATGAAGTCAAAATGACTTGTCCAAAGTTACAGAGCTAATGACAGAGCCCTGATTCACATTCTGGTCCATGTAACTTGGTGACCCACTCTCTTATTATTGCTGTATCCAAATTATATATTATGTGATCATTTTTATCCTTCGAGGGGAGTAATCTTTAAGTATGGAACAGCGTGCTTATCTATTTTCCCAAGCATAACCTATTCCACCCTCTGGCTGCTTATCCAGATATCAGTTGGGTCCCCAGTCTGGTTACGTCCTCTTCCATTATACTCATATAAATAAAGTGGAATATCTATGTACATAAAATATAATTGAGATTTTAAAAATCAGAAATATAATCTTACTATTTATAGTTAAAAACCACATTTTATGCATCTGGGTAAAAGCCACAATCTTAAGCATAACTACAAAGTCGTTATTTGTGTTCATTCTTCCACGACCTTATCATCTAGTACTTGCCCATTGTTCACTCCTCTTCAGCCACCAATGCCTCCTCATTGTACCTTGAACAAATCAGACATGCCCCAGCCTTCAGGCCTGGGTTCCAGCTTCTTCTTTTGTTTTTCTCCAAGATTGTGCTTGGCCAATTCCCTCATCTCCAGGTCTTCAAAATAGGAACCACTCCAACCATCTGATTTAGTACTGCAATTAACTACCATCCCTCCCTGGGCATTTCTCCTCAATATTAACATATTCTTATAGCCTTTATCACCTTCTGCCTTACTCTGCCGTTTGCTGGTTTATTGTATTTTTGTTTTAGTTTATTTCTCCCTGCTGGATGTAAACTTCTTTAAGTGTTGTAGGATGGTTGGCTCTTCTCACCCCCATCTATCGCTGTATCCCAAGCACCTAGAACAGGGTCTACCACAGAGTAGGCACCTGGTAAACATTTGCTGCCGGGGTGAAGGTTGTTACATTGTAAATACATCTAGATATGTATTCTGCATGAGTTTCTCCAGGAAGATGCTATTTATAAAAACATGCTCTGCTACGTGAAAGTACTCCAAGGAAAAGTTCCCAAGACTTCCATTCAAATTGCTCAGAATAAGATATTTGTATACCCAACTTGTGGATATCCTTGTATATCCTCCATAGGACTGGGCCAGCTACATGAAGACTGAGCTGGTTATCAAAAGAGCTGTATTTGAACCTTCAGTCTTCTTCTAACTGGAGCTGTTTTCCTTAGCAAGTAACAAATTAAACTTTCTCTGGGCCTTAGGATTCCTAATGTTTCATTCAGTTCTCTCTTTCCACAATTAAGCTCAAAGTTGACTACATTGTTTAAATGTATATGTTTTTAGAGATTTTTGTATCTACTACTTATTGAATATTTACTATTATTGAATATTCATTATTAACTGTATATTTATTCACTTCTCTCTTTCTGGTAGGCCCTATGATGTTGCTGGGAAGTCAAATACTGTATGTCTCTAGATATCATATAGTTTAAAGCTGTCATTCCAGAGAGATGAGAGAACTATGGTTCATAGAAGACAGAGGTTTTGCTTTTACATAAAATACTTTTCCTGAAATTGGGAAGAACCAATATTATGTGCTCTAAATCTTAAATAACAGATATTTTTGAGATAATTGAAAGCATAACCTATGGTCATGTTTTCAAAATCCTTCGTTATCCACATGGAGATTCCAAGGACGAGAGAAGGAAAGGAATTTTTCCAGGATCCTAAAGTAACTGAATCGTAGATTTAGATCAGGAAAACAGGTTTCTTGATTAAAGTTTATGCCAGATTAATTATTCCATGTTGTGTCTGTATGTTTTCTTGATCTCAAAGTAAAAACACAATCAATGCTTCTGCAGAATTTTCTTTATTGACAAGCAAGTCAAGGGAAATAGACATATCCATTGAACTCCTCAAGACCCAGGCATAATGGAAGGTATATCTTTATAAATGTAAGGAATGCACTAGAGAAACGTAAAAGCAGAAGTGAGAAAAGAAGGACAACAGAGCTGGCAAGAAGCACGAAGCATGGGCTCTAAGTCAGCATTTTCCAGCATGCTTTAGGTTAATCTTCCCACCACTTTTCCTATAAAATAAAAAGACAAATATATGCTCAGTGCAATGTCATAAATATTCACCACAGAGGTTGGAAGCAGTTTTAACTATGGCATGGTCCATTTAGTCATTTGATTCTGTAGATATCCATGTCTATGATTCAGCAGAGGTTAAATAAATGCACTAAAAGGTGACATCTGGCTTAACTGTGAAAAGCATGACTCTTAAACAAATCTCATTGTTTTGACAAGCTTTAATTAGAACTTTTGGTGCCAGTTTCTCATTCTCTAATTGGCAAAGGTAGAAGTGATGGGAGCAATAATGGCAAAGAGACTAGAATGTCATAGTTCTATTTTAACGGAAGACGTAAGAAGTTGAACCACATATTCAGGCATTTGACACTATATAGCTGCCCACATATTTAGGCCCTGTAGGTAACATGCATTTTCACTCAAATTTCATCTTACCCACTGACGTCCTCCTGAGAAAAGTTTGTTATTAATTAGTTATGCTATACATAAGTGTATACGTGTGTTCATTATGTATTGATAATGATATTGACATTTTAAATTAAAAATAAATGAAAAAATTTAAAAAGTATCAAAATCATTAAAGGTAATAATTATTACGTATAATTTGCATGATTTTTTTTTTTTTAAAGATGACTGGTAAGGTGATCTTAATGCTTGACTTGGTGTTGTCAGCACCACGCTCTCCCAAGTGAGCCACGGGCCAGCCCCTAATTTGTATGATTTTTAAAAACTTCCTTAAGATGAATCAAAAGTAATAATAAGCAAGTAAAGCCATTATATTTTTAAATAATTTATTATGTAATTTTTAAAATTGCTTTTGACACATTTGTTTTCAACCCATTTGCCTGAAGCTTATTTCTTCAGTGTCTGAGTAGATATGTGTAGATACCTCAAGTAAAGCATCTTAGTCATATTCTGCAAGTTTGTGTTTGCAAGGGACAGGTTTGGTGAGTATGATACTTACACCACTGCCTTACAGAAGGCACATTTATTGCCGTATGTCTGGCCATCAGAGCCACAGTGGGGGTTAGATTCCCGAGTACAGTAGACCTTGGGGTCACGGAACTCACCACAGTCGATCTACCAAAGCAAGCACAGTGACATCAACATTAGTGCATTCTACCCAAGGGACTATTCCTCAGAACAGAAACTTTGGGCAGCAAACTTTAAAATCATGTATACATAGTTGTGACATAAAGCATCCTGAAATAGAAAATACCTCTCCTGATCTGCTTAAGTAGACTATATATGAAACATAACTCGGATTTTTTCTTTGAGACACAACTCATTACAGGACGTACATTATTATATTATTGCATTCAGGAGTGAATTAATGATGTTGTCAATTGCTATAGGTAAGACTTTTGACTCCAACATTAAATTGCTTCAATATTATTAAATTGCTTCAATATTATTAAATTGCTCCAATTTAATTAAATTGCTTTAAAAAAATTGTATTAATGTACACTAACAGCACTCCTTCTGCATTGCTATAAAAACATGGATGATCCTTGCAAGGGCCCCAGGACATTACCTGATGATTTGTTAGTTTTCTCTGTGGATGCAACATCATTTACTATCCTTTGAAAACAAAGTTATAATGTCTGTATATTAACTTACTCTATCTCAGAGCCTGTGTGTAGAATTTTAACTTTTGTGCTTACTATAATAATTTAGTAATGGCTGCCTAAGCTGCTGTGTTACAATGATTCTGAGGTTGCATTTAGTCTTATTGAGAACATACGTTATGACTGATTAATAATTATCATCATGGACTCAATAGGTTAAACTGAACCCCTTCAAATATCAGCTCTGTGGAATGAAGTGACATTTACACATAGATAGAGAAAATTTGCTTTATTCATGTTCTGGTTCCATTAAAATAATACTGCCTTATGTTTATCAATTGCTTCATAACGCTTAAACTACTTTCATATAGATGACCTCAGTAGAGCCTAGCAATAACCCTGAGAGGTATATTAAGCAATATCATCATATCAACCAGTTGACAGGTGAGAACACTGGTCTTCGGGAAAATTAAACAGCTTACTAATGCTTGAATATATTCCTTTTTATTGCTGATCCAGAATTTCCAACAATCTACTATGGTTGATTTCCAATACATCCTCACTGAGAGAATTAAAGACAAACTGTCACTATGTACCCTTAACCACACTTATAGTCAAGACATGTAGATTTCATTAAAATAGCTCATTAGGTCAAATGTACCACAGGAGGATAATATGTAATAAGATTGTACAATATTTGGGATTCATGCTAAATGAGTAGATTTTAGCTGCTCTTGCCACACACAAAAAAGAAAAAATTGGGTAACTATGTGAGTTGATGGTTATGTTTATTTGCTTTCCTGTAGTAACCTTTTTACTATCTCTATGTATCTCATAAAATCATGTTGTGTGCCTTAAGTAAACACAACAAGATTTATTATATAAAGGAGATTATTAGGAAAATGTATGAGCATTGGCAAAAGGAATCACTTATTTAAGATGTTAGCAAACCATTATGCATTGACAAAGTTTTCTGAAGGTTTCACGGGAAAATGTTCAGTGAAAGTGTCATACAGTTAGGTTAAAAATATTACCACATTATCAGGTTTAATGAGACTGAGACTATAGAACACACATTTATGCTGAAATTTGGCATCTTATACTATTGAGGTTGAGTAGTATGGTGCTTACCAGAGATCTTCTTAGGGCTTGGTTAAATAGAAGATTCCTGGGCTTTTTATAGTCCAACCTATGGCCCCAGTTTCCCCCACTGCACTGAAAGATAATTCCATCCTCTCATACTACTTCCGGAATGGTAATCTGTCCCTTAGGTCTCCAAATGGAAAAAACAGCTAAAAAAGTCCTGAAGACATGATAAGCCATGGGCACGTTTTTCTCGAAAGCTAATTTTGTATTTAAGTCATTAATTTACACATTTGCAGCAGTGTTTTGGGGTCAAGAAAGAGCTGTGAACTGCAGTATATCGTTGATATTCCATTTATTCCACAAACATCCAATAGGTAACTAATATCTGGAAGACACAGTGCTGGGTACTGATCATCCAGGGAGAAATCAGTGATAAATATTATCTCAATAACCTCACAGTCTTATCTGCACAAGGAGTGCAGAGAGAACATAGATAATTACAGCCTGATGCATGATAAATGCCACAGTCAGACAGGCACAGGTAATGTGGAAGCTGAGCAAAGACATCTCAATCAAAGGTATGTGTGTCTCTGCAGTCAGGACAGTGAGGAAAGGAAACAGGTCTCTTACTTGAGAGAAACGCCTCCTTAAGACACCTTTCCCTGGCAATCGGCTCTCCGATCTTGTGATCCAGCCTCTTTTGTCCTTTAGAAAGCAGATATGGAAGTAGCACTTGGGAAGGGGATTCACTTTGAGAGTTTCTAGATCCACCTCCCTCTCCAAACCCATTTATCCCCTTCCCTTGTCCCCTGAAAAAAGACTAAGAAGAAGAAAGTTTCAATAAATCAAATCAAATCAATCAACTGGCATATGAACAAACCTCCTAAGAATAGGTACATTCCTACTTTTAAACCGCAGTGGCTTTCAGTGATCCCTGAAGTAAGCTCATGGAGAATCATGTTGCAGACCTAGTTCTGCCATTGACTAGCTGTGTTATCTTGGACGAAGAACTCAACACCCGCCCCAATGTTCTTAACCAAGAAACAAACAAACAACACTTTCCATGCCTCATTCCCAGATTCCCAGGATTGTTGAAAAGATCAATGTGGTCATATAAGAGTTGCAGAGAGTCAGTGTGGAGTATTTGAAATAGTCCTGGATTACAAGTGCAGGAATTAAGCTTCTTACAATAGGTCTGTCCTAACGCTAGCTATGAAAAGCATCTGTAACTTACACAAAATGCTCAGTACCATAAGGTTAGAGGGTCCCTACAGCCCTTCAGTTTTGATGATCCAAGATTTAGCAGTGACTATTTTCAGTGAAATGGCTTAAATAAAGCTCTTTTGTCCTTAAGTGTTTGTTTGGGTGGGAGAAATAGCGACTTTTGCCCAAATCCTTTCTGGTTTACATCTAGAGAGGCCTCTTCACTGACTGTGCGAGAAATTTTAGCACAGTAGCTGGGGGCAGAAGAGGGCCACTCTCTGTGGTCCCCAGGGGTTTCAGATGGTGTGTGGTGTGGAATGCCTCTGAAGAGCCATCCAGAAGTCCCTTCTTTAAGGCAAAGAGCAAGGCAAAGCAATATCAGGGTTGGGACTAGAAAGAGACCACTGCTGTCACCACCTGAGGAGAAATAGACTAAGATTTCTAAGGGATATGCCTCTTTTTTCCCTCCATTTGCTCTCTTTCATATTTTTGTTTTGTACACCCTTACACAGAATCCAAACAACTGGCTTTTCAGTGAGAGTCAAAGCAAGTCTAAACTGGTGGTGATTGTAGGATTACCTTTTCTCCTTTAAATTTTCCTAAATGAAGCATTTAGGAAGCCCAGGAGAGCTGAAATCTTCCATGAATCCAATGAAAATGCCCCAATGCTGCTGTAATGTTGGAGGGTTGTCCTGTAGATAGAACTAGACTGACCTGGGTTTGAATTTTGCTTCTCCCACTTATTAGCTGCAGTACATTATGCAAACATGTCACTGCTTTGAGTTTAAATTTCTTCATATTTAACAGGCCATTGGTAATGCCTGTTTTCTAGGGATGTTGTAATGATTAATCCTGTAAAAATGCTTTGTAAAGTAAAGATTGCTATTATAAACACTAGCAATGTAAATTATTGTATCACAGTTTTTAAAAAATTTTACTTTGTTTTTTAATGTTGTTTAGATTGGCATTGTATTCAACAAGAAATTCCATTCATCTCCGTGGATAATTCAGCTACCAGAGGCTACTTCTAGGCACATGGTGCCAACATCCAGCAGCAGCCTGACCCCTTGTGGTTCTTCAAAGAACTGTACCTTCTAAAATATTATGAAATGGAGGGACACTTAGTACCCAGATTAGTCATCTTAGCTAATAGTGACAAGAAAATTATTTAACTTGGTTGGAGAATTGAGCATATTTGGCCATTAATTTAACTAAAGACTCAGTATCACTAATATTTTAATCTAGCATTTTAGGTCTACCAATAAATCCAATGAAAATTTGTAATCATGAACACACAGACCTAGGGTGTAGGATGGCATCTCTTCTTCCCTTTACTGGAAAAGACTACCTATGTGGTTAAATCATCTCCATTTTTTACCATACCAGTTTTCTTAACCCCTCCTTGCCATGGCTTTTCGTTCCCCTACTTTTACATCCCTTCTACTCCACTTAAACTGCTCTCAAAAATTATGCCTTTCAGGATATACCTTTTCGCTGTGTATAAAAAGTTCATGATTTCCTTATCATATGTGCAATTCTTTACCATTCTGGCCTGTTAAAAACTCTTTCTAGACTTTTGTAATATGTCAGTTCTCTGGTTCTCCAACTGTTTTTGTTTTTTTAACCTCTTTTATTGTGTTTTCTTTTTTCCTCCTGAGTATTAATTATGGTCATTTTCAAGATAGTTTTATATACTTGATTTTCTATAAGAACACATGTTCTCCCAGTTGATAGACATGAATCGCAGCCTTTTTTTCTTGAGTTTTCATCAGTAGTTCAAACTATTGAAGTATACGATACACAAGTCAATAATTTGATTCGTACTTCAGGCTCATTTATGTCCAAAATATAACTCTTTATCTTTCTTTCCAAACTAGTTTTGCATTCTAATTATTCCATTTTTTGTGGTAGTACCCTTCTTCAGATTCCCCAGCCTGCCCTCAGATTAAACATTGCCATTTCTTTTCTCTCATCAGTGTTACCTTTTGTACACTACTTCTTTGCCAATTGCACATTTACTGCCTTTCCCAGCCCTCCACATTTCTTGTCTGAACCAACACAAGTTCTGCTCTCTCTACCTCCTTTTCTTGTAACTTCAAATCCTTCCTACATGTAAAGGCAAGTTATTTTAAACTACTGTTTTCATCATATCCTTTGCTTAAGAAATGAGGATTGTAATCACTACCTTATATTTGTTTGGAAAATTATAATGCTCTCAGTTCTTTCATATGCACTGCACAATGGCTTTCTATTGATGATGAAAGATTGTGCAGAGCAGTGGAGAGCTCACTCCGACTGGAGTCAGGGATCCTGAGATATTGATTCCACAGCTGTACTGCTGTAGGGAGATTGAAGCCAACTGCAGCCTGCTGAAGAGAGCCAGGTTCTCTTTCTGAGGCTTCGGTTTCTGATATGTAGCTCAGTTGTAGATGCTGGATAACATATCCAAACTACGTTTAGATATTCTGTCAGTATCAAGCTATTTTGGAAAAATGAAGAGTCCCAAATTCATTTTAGTCATGGAGCATTGATTTACTAACTGTACTAAAATTCGCTAATCTGTATCTTAAAATGCAGACAAAAATAAACTTACTGATCCTGAAAGGTATTGTAACAGAATATGGTTGCCAATTATTGCTTTCAAGAGGCTTGTTCTATTAATTACAATCTAAACTAGTCACTTAAACAGATCTTTGAGGATGTGGTTCCCAAGTACAAAACCTGGTAGGAAAATAAAAAACATTAAAGGCAATGTAGTGAGTGATTCATAAAGCAAACTTTCTCCAGTTCTAAGAACTATCCTTATTCTAAGAATATGTCTTTCAAACATTTTGATGTTATACAGCAATTTATTTAATGAAATGTTAATGGTGGAAAATAGTAGCTTTATTTTACCATTATTATTACCATTGTTATTTAATGTACCTTCTTGGCAAATTAAAGAGTCAGCAGCATATTAGTCATTCACATTTACAGAGAAATTTTACTGTAATATGAATTCCAGAAGTCTGGGAACATGCTTTCTGTTTAGATTGAATACTCTTTTTGAAATAATGTGAGCTTTTTAAAAGACTATAATTTAGACTGCTAATTATAATCTGCCATAAGATGTTTCATCATGGAGAGAATTATTGGCATGAGAAAAGTGACTTGAGTGTTGGAGGAAATCTTACTTTCTTTTGTCTTGGCTGGATCAGACTGAGCAGGAATGCTCCTAACATTAGTTTCAGCTTCTTCCTAGCATGGAAACTCCCATCCTCCCTGTAGCTATGCAGAGAAGAAATGGCAGCCTTGATGCCATCTGAAAGGGTGTCACCCTCCCTTCTCTTGCAGGAAAATTTGAGTGGAAAAGAGACAGCAGTCTTGGAAGGATAGGCTTGGTTCATAATCATTCAGATATTTAGAGCAGAAAGGAGCTTTAGAGATCATTAAATCCAAATCTTCATCTTAGAGATGTGGAAAGAGAAGGGAAGAGACATTCTCCAAATTACACAGCAAGTAAGTATTTGAATTAGGACTCATCTATATTGTCTGACTCCAAAGCTGCTGCTTCCCAGTACAGCTTGCTTCTTCTTAACTGGAGAAAAGTGCTCAGATTTTATTATATATAAATGTCACTTGGATAATTATTTAGAATGCAGGTTCAAACCCCTACCTCTGTGATTATTATTTAATGTCTTATATGGTACCTGGGGATCTATATATTTAGTAAGCATTCTAGGTGATCCTGAAGCAAGCAGATGATTAGACTTTGGCCCATCTAAAGGAAAAGAATCAGTAAATAGTAAATTTTAAATGAACTTAAGAAAACATTATTTAAAATATGGGAAATCGAGGCCCCCTAAATGACTTGCACGTTCATGAGAAAACTGGAGTTAAATTCCGTATCTCTTAAATCTGTGTGTAAAGGTCTTATTATATAGTTTAACTACCTGATGGGATATGAAATGTGTTGGCTGGATCTATGTCTTTCCCTGTGTGTTTGTTTTTATATTTAGTGTAGTCTGTGCTACCATATTTATTTAAACATAAAGAGTCTATTTTAAGATGTACAATTTTATATGCCAACAGCAACACACATGTGTGCATGTGTTAGACATACACACAAGCGCATGCACATACACAAACACACAGGCAGTTAATTGTAAGGCATCATTAATTGAAAGATGTATCTAATTTATGAGGTGCTAAAATTGGTGTGGCGGGGGAAATCCTATGCAACATAGTGGGTATATCAGGGTTGGAAAATATTTTTCAACGTTTGTGCCACCTCCAATCAGTTGGGAGTAGTGTCTGGAAATTTTGATTCTAATGGTTTTTGGGCACACACAAGCTAAGCAGGAACAAGTGCCAGGATCAAGTAAAAAATCTCAGTATGGACACAGCAGCAGAATTGGCAGAGCCAATAGCACTTATTTGTGTCACCTTTTGATAGGTAGAACCAGAAAAATAGAAAGAAGTTGGTGAATTAATTTGGTATAAAAAGTCCAACAATGAAAGTAATTTGTGCGCATTTCAATTTCTAAAACCAAACTGTATTCAAGTTAGAGTGAACCAGTCTTTGTATCCTCACTACAGAACATTATGTAAGTTTTCTGTCTATTTTCAGGTCTTATTTCTAAAAAACAAATAATAATTTTTGTTCTAACTCCTTCAGAGACTGTTAATTACTAATTAATAATGAATCAATATATAACCATTTACAGTTTGCCAAACTTTTTCACAAAGTTTATGTAATTTAAATGTAATTGCAATTCTATGAAGGGAATAATATTCATTTTCTATAATTGTGGAAATTGCAGCTCAAAGAAGCTGAGTAACTTGCCCAAGATTGCACAGTGAAATCAGTGATAGAACATGGTATCTCAAATCCATCCTATTTTTATTTATTTTCTACTCTGACAAAATGTGAGAATGTGTTTAGGCTTTTTTAAATTGAAATGGTTTACTCATGAAAGATTGTAGTTAAAAAATAATTATTTTACCTGATTTCTTCTTTTGGCCTGTCTGCTCATTGTTTTTGCTCTTTTACCAAGGACAAAACTCTCTTTGGCCAGGGAAAACTAGCCAAGCACCACAAGGTAGGAAGAATATATAAAAATAGGCACTGACCTGTTCTCCTTGACTGAAGACACCTGAAAAAAAAAGCACAAAATCCAAACACTGTAATTTATGAACATACGAAAAGTGAGATTTGCAAAATTAAAAAATGCCCAAAACCTGTTCCTGGTTCTTGGCCATCTCCAGAAGTCATGGCATGTTGTTTCATTTTTATACCTGCTCAGTTCTTAGGGAGGTGATGTAAGGACATGGACCATAAGGGGACAACATTTGTTAGAGGTTACAGTGAGTGAGAGAAAATGGTTTAAGGATCTAGAAATTAATGTTACAATCCTAGCCCAGTTGCTATGTTACTATGAAAAGGACGTTCTCATCTCCGGTCTCACTTTGGAAAAGTTGGAGTGAAAAGTCTCTAACATTCACATTCCAAGGTTCAGTCCATGCAGTTCTTCCCAAATGCCTTTGTTACAGGCACTTGAGGAAGGGATTGATTTGCTGTTTGTTCTATGAGCTCAGAATTTCTCATCTACCCTCTATACTTAACTTTTAAGACTTGGCCCACATATAGACTGGTGAGAACCAGTGCGCTGTCTTTTCTGTGACTCATTCTCTTTTCACATCCCTCTATATTCCTAAAATACAAAAAGGTCCATGTATACTGTCTTATTGCTGTCCCTTTTTTCCTCCTACTATGTATATGTGTGATTTTTGATTGTGACTAATTAGCTCAGTGGTTTAAAATACTAAAATGATTAAAATCCTAGGTTCAATCCTGGTATGGGCTGCTGAGTTTTGATCTGTGGCCATTTCTGTGGAAATCCTAATACAGCAACCCCTCTCACATGTAAGCGCATGGCCACCCCAACAAGACAGAGTGTGAATTAGTGCAATCCATCTCAAATGCTGGCCAGCCCCGTGGGATGACAACTGTAAATTCCTCAAAGTGTAATCTCTATGCATGGGAATAAGGAGATAGCAAGGCTTTTATTTATTTTTTTTAAAAGATGACCGGTAAGGGGATCTTAACCCTTGACTTGGTGTTGTCAGCACCATGCTCACCCAGTGAGCAACCGGCCATCCCTATATGGGATCCGAACCCGTGGCCTTGGTGTTATCAGCACCGCACTCTCCCGAGTGAGCCACAGGCCGGCCCAAGGCTTTTAAATTTGAAGGAAGGTTACTGATCATTTTCAGCAGTTATTATCAACCTTATGGATTCATAAGGTGCAGTGTTGGTGGTTATTAAAAATACAGATTCTTAGGGCAATTGCTTGAAAATTCTATCATATAAGACCAGATGGAGCTTGGGAGTCTATACTTTTGAAAACACTCTCAGTGATTCTTATAGCCAAGGAAAATTCATTATTATACTTTTCAGCCAACTCTCCACTGTAGAAATCTGTGATCCAAAAAGTAGGGATTTGCTCAATGTCTCATATGTAGAAATGGCAAGGCAGAAAAGGGGTTAATATCACAATGGCTGAGTCCAATCTAGTACTCTCTTCATTACACTTTAGTTATGGCAGCAATAATATTAGCAGACATTTTTTGAACACTTTCTATGGACCATCCACTATGTTAAACACTTTACATGCATTTTCTCACTTAACTCCTCATATAGAGATAGCTTTTACATATCCCCACTTTGCCCATAGGGAGAATGAGGCTCAGAAGAGTCACACAGCTATAAACTGGAAATGCCAGAACTAAAATTTGTTCCTCTCTATTTCAACATTAAGGCTCTTAGGCACTATGTCCTCCCAAATACTATCTACTATGTCTATGAAGCACCCAAGCTTTGGTAAATTAAGTGTATTAGTCAACCAGATCTTGTTAAAGATCAGTTCATCTTTGTAAAAAGAAGTAATAAAAGGATAGCAATCAATTTCTGAGACTATCTTTACTGCTAAATTTTAATATAGTCAGATCTATTTTTTTTCTGCCACTTCAGCAATTGATTGAACCACCCATTAAAGTTATTTGGCTTTAGTAGTCCATAATATCACAGGAATCCTTATCCATTTTTTTCCACATTTTTAAGTATATTTGTTTATATAAATATGACCAGCTACAGAGAACAATAGCTTTTCTATCAGCAAAATCTCATTGAAAATTTGTTTTTACATGCTTAGCCATTTAAATTCTTTGATAGTAGCAAAATTCATCATCTCTTGTCCCAGAAAATGATATATCAGACATGGAAGATCCCAGGGCTCAATCTTATTTCTAGCATTTTACAAATGAGGGAATATCTCAGATAACTGAGATATTTCTCCAGTTGACACAGGCTATTAGTGAAAGAGATGGGAACAGGTCTTGGATCTAGTGACTCTAGCGTGTGTTTTGCCCACTACAACACGATAGAGTAGAACAATAAGAAAGAACCAACTATAATGGCCCCGTTCATTCAGATGAAAAACATCTATGATGAAAACATCACCTTGAAATATAATTGTCTTTTGAACCATCTTAGTTGATAGGATATATGACTATTGCTCATTAAAGTGGCCAAAGATATTTCCCTGCTTGAAGAATTGTTTAGTTCACCAGCAACATGTTTCTGCTTACTAAAGCTCAATGACTTCTTTTCAAGAATTTCCTCATTGAGTTTCCTTTTTTCCCCTTGTTTGAATTTCAATTATTTGAGTCCCTTTGTAATAATAACTAAGGACAGGAAAGTTTCCCTCTATCTCAGAAAGTCAAGCTAATATTTAGTGCATTTATCCACCCTCCAGACTAGTTCTATGGAGCAAACATCAACTGTGATGGCTACAAGAGCTGGATTCAGATTCCAAATTCTATTTACTAGTTGCAAGTCTTTTGGCAATTTCCTTAACTTCTCTATACCACAGTTTCTTATCTGTACAGTAGGGATACAACTACCTTGCTATTGTTATTAGGGATGATACATAAAAGCCCTTAGTGCATGCCTAGAATATAGCATATGCTCAACCATGACAGTCGTTCTCATCACTATTACCATCATTATTTTCATTATCATAATCACCATCATTATGATGATCTCTCAGAATTGGTCTTTAGTACCAAAATTTTTAGAATTTTGAAATATGGTGGACAACTACTCTTATCTTCAGTTCAGTATAAATATGGGATCTTAATGTTAATTAAAAACTCACCTGAGAAAAAGCAGAAAAGAGCCAGAGAGAGGAACAGAAAGACACCTGATATTTTCATGGTGCCAGTTAGCTCACTCAGAGTAAGGATGCTTTGCCCAGCTCAGGTTCTCTGTCAAGACACTTCCCAGAAAGCACTAAAACACACACTCAGACGTATATATAGACATGATAGAGGGAGTTGGGATCTCCACCTTCTTTATAAAATCACATTCTAAAGCCATATGCAGTCCTATACACTTTAGGCATTTATTAGGACCTGTCAGCAACTTAAAGAAATGCTTCATACTTCCCATTAGTCTTCAAAATTAGAATAATTATGTGAGTCGCACCTTAGATCCTATTAATAGGATGTTATTTTCTACCAGCAGCCTACATTTTCCTAACAACCAATACATCCTCCCTGTTCTTCTCTCTAAGGTTTCACTACATTAAAGGGATGATTCACTGGTTGAGTTGCACCTGATCTCTATGTCTCTTTCAGACAGGTCCTACATGTCTGGTCCAGATGAGTAACCACAGGGGAATGGAATCTTGGGTGTAACTTGGATTTTCAGAGTCTAGATCATCCAAGGTGTACCTAAAGAAGACAAATATCCTACATTGTAACAGAACTGCACCAGAACAAGTGTTTTCTGGGCAGGAATCATCTTATTAATTTTTAAATCATTATTGCAGCCAAATGCCAGTGATTTTCAATTTTTGAGTCAAAATGAACAGAGGGCTTAATTTATTGTTTTCAATTTGTAAAAAAAAAAAAAAATCATTGCTAAAAAAGTTGCTAAGTGAATATTTGAAATGACTAATATCCCTTTATTCTGCAAAGTAAAAAAAGGTATTCATAATAATAAGCTTAAAGTTTTAACTCCTTGGAAATATACTTTTTATATAACTTAAATGAATCTCATTAACTATCATGGTGAATTTAATTGCAAGATAGATGGAACAATGAGATGCCACATCTTTCTTTGGGGAAACAAAAATATAAAGAATGGTTATTCTTTATAATGAAAAAGTCTGTCACAATCCATAAACTGCTATTTAAAATATCATGAAGAAAAATATAACAAGTTAAAATATGGGAACAATTATGCAAAAATGTGTTCAATTTGAAACACAAGGGATTAATGCAATCTATGTATAAATAAGCCAGAAGTTATACAAATGAAGAATTGGTTTCCTTTTAAAGTAGTCACTTTGAGAAAATGTATACACAGTTCAGACATCATTCCCTTTATCTCAGGACATTTGTTTACTTTTTAGAAATTACCTATTTTTAGAAATTTTAATTTTATTCATCTCAGTATTTAGGATGAATTTTATGTCTTTCAAAATGGCAAATATATTTTATTGAATTTGATAATCAGACAGAATATTACTGTTTTGGTCAAAATTAAGTGACTATGACAAAAATAATTGTTTTCTTTTAATTCCTTCTTTGGCAATTTTTTAAAAGACCTGAACTTACAGGGTAGGGGAAAGAACTTGGATAGGAGAGAGAGAAAAGGCACAGAGAGGAGGAAATGTACAAGGGGACTTCAAAGAGTTCATGGAAATATTTGTATTATCTTTCAATTCCATTTTTTCACAAACTTTTTGAAGTACCCCATATGTGTTCGTCAAAGGTTAAAAAAATTTTTATTCAAAGATGGTGTGATATACACACACATACATACACAATCTTAAAATCCTTTACAAAAAGTTGTAGGTAATATGTTAGGCATTAAAAGTTTCAATGATGATAATGAAAAATCTTAAAAACTATATTTAAATTTTTTAAAATATATTTTATGGGAAGAGGAGTCAGGATATTTTTTAAAAAAACAGAATAAATGGGAAATTTCTTTTTAAAAAGCTATGAAATTTTAAACTAACAATTGCACAATTCTACTTGTTATAATCTTTAATTTTTTTCTCATTAAGTGAGACAATATTAAGAGCAGTTCTTGGAAACTAAGACACTACATAGGCTTAGTTTTAGGTACTGCTGCTCCACTCTTCCAATGTCTCCTCCTTTCCTCTGTCGCCTTCTCTTTTTCCTTCTCCTCCTGTGACCAGAATAGGGTCAGTCTAAACATATCTCATGTCCAAAACTTTCAACAGTTCAAAAGCATCAACAAATAAGGAAAAACAATGTTAACAGCAGTAGTTGGTCATGTTCCACCATACAATTCATGGTGGCCTTTCAAAAATATCTGTTTAAACTTCTTCCCCTCTCCCAAAGTTTCATTTTTTCATAGTTGCTTCTCATACCTTGCTCTAAACTCTCAAAATCACTGTTCACTCAAATGTTACTCTCTCCTTATGTTCCAGTTTTTTCTTCTTTGCCTCCTTCCAACCTTCGTGAGTTCTTTTTCAATAGGTGTTTTTGGTAGAATGATTCTTATGCAGAATGATTCCGTCCTCTTTTTCTGAATGTATTAAATTCTGTATCTTCAGCACTTACCCTACCCACCAAAACAAAGCATGAAAGCACAAATTAAGTATTAGCTCTGGATAGGCATGGGGAGAAAATATTATATCATAAGTATATATATTTTAAGAAATCTGGTGCTTTGAATAATCACTTTTGTTAGGTTTCTGGGCTATGTGAAAGTTTTTGGTTTTCTTTTCATTTTTTAAATACAACTGAAAGGAAAAGGTAAGACACATTCTCTGGGAATCACTTCATTAGCTCCTTAAATAAGAAGTTAAGATAATAGAAGGTTATAAAAAATTTACAGGCAATTGTTCACAGATTGTGTAATTCTAGGCTTTTGGCTACAGAGTAAGTAGAAGACAGAAGTTGGAATTTTATTTTCTGTAGCGTCCTGAAAAGAAAATAAAGAAAGCCTTAAGAATCTTAACAATTAAGGATAAGAAAATTTCAATATATTGTATCATCAAAAGAAGGATAGAAAGAAAAAAAGAAAAAAGAAAGAAGGAAAGGAAGAAAGAAAGGGAAAGGAGTGTGGGAGAAGGCAGTAGAAGGTAAGGCTCATATACAGACACAGTAGAATGCAGTCCCAACATGCATGTAGTTGACTTCCAAAATTTACCTATACATACTTTCTTTCACGTAAAGACAAACACCCTGCAAATGATATTTTCCATGCACAATTTATTATATAAACATTATACATTCACACAGAAATGTTACCAATCAGGGCACTATACACAAGATCATCTACATTTTATTTAACATTCATGTAAGAAAACTTAAGGTCAATTTTGATTCTATAATTTTTGCTGCTGAAGTTACAATATCACTTCACCTAATGAGATGCAGCTTTATTGCTTTTAGAATGTTTAAGACTGAGTCTGATGATATACATGTATCTATGTTTGTGTGTTTTAACATTTTATTTGTTCCTATTACTTTTCCTTCTCCATATAGAGCAAAATGTATTATTTTGAAATAATTACTTCTTAGACATCTATGTTCTTTTCCCCCAAACCCTGAACCCTTCCACCTTTTAACACAGGACATGAGATAGAGGCATCCTTTCAAAAAAGGACAGTCACCACCTTAATTCAGAAAGGTACTAATCAAGAAAGTCATTGCTCAGCATTGAATTATGAAGTGGTCTTTTTAAAATGTCCCTAGCCATACGATAGACTAAAATCAAGAACTTTTATTTGCAACTACCCAACCTTCATTCAGAGTGAAGAATGTTTTTTCTTGGAACTTCCATTGGATCACATAGGAAAGAGGAAAAACCTTTCTTACGACTGTAGGTGAGAAGTCTGGGAAGAGAAGGAAAGAGGGGTTCCAGAATTTAGACTTCATTGTCCTTCTTAGTTCAAAATCCCTGGCTTATGGAGGAGAATGAAGATGCATCACTAGACTTGGCATAGGTGAAACAGAGTGGTGATAATAAGAGAGGCATCCAGGTATTTGAACCTGATAGGAATCTTACAAAGGTCTCAGACTGTAAGGAAGATCAGAAAAAGCTACTAAAAGTCAGACTCCAAGATAGACAAGTACTGACAGGGCTGATGAACTAGAAGGGTTTTCATATCAGAAAAATGAGATTTAGAGTTAAGAGACATTTGATAGAGACAATTGATAACTTGATGAGGGGCATCATGTATTTCCACAGAGGGTACTATCACATCTGATAGATAACAAAGAGGGAGAGAATGGAGATGTGGGCCCTCTATGATACAGTGACCACAGGAGCTACATTACACAGCAGCAATCCTTGGGGGGACAGAAGTCGACATCTAGAAACTGAGAGGTAGGAAACACCTCTCCAGGAGCCAATGCCATGCAAATGTCATGAAGTTATATAAGCTTTCTCTTGAATCCAAATGTCATCTTTGGCACAAAGAAGGAATGAGAAGGAAGAACCAGAGAGACACAGTAACTTAGTAAAATGTGGAGGCTTAGCTGGAGAAATTTTGTTAATTTTATTCAATGTGGTATCCACAGTAGTGTCAACTATGCTTAGCAATTAATAGGCACTCAGAACATGTTTGTTGAATGACTGAGATTGAAATACTTTTAATTGGCAAGGTAAATGTTTTCTGATATTACTGTGAAATGAAGGTGAGAACAGTTAAAATAGGAAAATTTCACTGTTTTGACACATAAATTTTAGCTTATATAAAATGTGACCCACTCTACCTAATCCACATTAATGTTTTATCAGAAAAAAAGAGATAAACTTTTTGATTATCACACAAAAGATATTTACCTAAATCTTCCATTCAATACAAAATATGATCTAAAGCTTTTGTAAGAAATATACATAGTACTTTTATACTTAATGGTTCTGTGATATATAAGAATGACCATAGAATTTGATTCCAGATAGACCTGGGATGTGCATTCTACATGCTACATGCTATGTGAGTTGAAGGATGATAATAAACGTTTCTAAGTCTAGTATTCTTAGTAAGAGTAGCTTCCTGGGTTATTTATATGCATCTTATACTTGTTTCACTGAATTTCTTTTAGTTTTTTGACTAAACTTTGAATTTGGTCTCTCAGATTATTTAGGCTTGAATATGTCATCACATTAGTGATCCCTCCCAGCTCTGTCTCAACTATAAATCTAGTAAACATATCTTGCTGGTCATCCTCAATGTCATTGCAAAAGTGTTTAAAAACAGGCTCAAAGATATTTTACCAACTTATCTCCAAGGTTATGCTACTGAAATAAATATTCATATTTTTTTCTGGCACAGTATCAAGCTTCTCACCCTTATAAAATGCTGTGAGGTAAGTTTGGTATGACCTGCTTTTAATGAATCTATGTGCACAATCATTTGTATCTTCTTTCCTAACTGCTCATATTATATTTCCTGCTCCTCCTATCATAGACTCTCCACCCTTCCCCCAATAAGATATTCATTCACCTTTCTCATTTAGTTCCACTACATTCTATTTTGCCTATCTTAACTGATGGTTTTGCCTGGGATGTTCTTTTCTTTAATCACTACATG